GGGTTGGACTAGATGACCCACAGAGGTCCCTTCCAACCCCTACTATTCTGTGATTCTGTGATTCTGTGATTCTTGCTGACGCCCGTGGCCCGAGGAACGGGTCAGGGCTTGCTGGGGCCATTCTCCAGAATGGATCCGCTGCCGGCATTTGGTGGGATCGCACCTCGGGATCAGTAATTTCGTGGGTTTATTGGGGTGGATCGTCTTGGGCTGGGCAGAAGTGCTGCGCGGGGTGAACGCTGAGCGCGCTTCCACGTGGAGCTCCTGCCTGCTGTGAGGGCAGGGAGCTTCCCCCCGCTGCGGACCTGAGCATCAGCGTCCTCCCGGGAAGGGCAGCGGGAGGAAGGCCCAGGACGCTGTGACTCCGCTGGGGTGGGGCTGCTCCCCAGGAACGGCTGGACAAAGGTACAAGCGGTGCCGGCCATCTCCTGCTGCCGATGAATCAATCCCAAAACACCTGGCAGCGTCCAAGAGAGATGTCTCCAAAAGCTGTAATGTCTCCAGGATCTGGCCAACACCTGAAGGCTCTCAGTCATTGAGGGGTTGTTCGGCAAGGCGTTCACCCCAAGAAAGGTTTTGTCCTCTGGTGGTGTGTCCTCTCCAGCTCTCCAGTCCAAGACGTCCTCCATCAGTCAAACCCCACCCAGATGGAAAAAACAGTGGCCCACTAGTGCTTCATCTGGTGCCCAGCACCGGGCTCTGCTGCTCGTGTGTGCAGAGGGGGGACCCCGGCGAGCGCCTTCTCTGCGAATGCCTGTGTCAAGCCGTGCATTGCAGAGTCGCTTTGAGGGAATTAAACTAGAAGAAAGCGCCCATTTTTTGTAAAACTGAAGCTATTTGCCATCATGTCTCCTGTCCTGATGTAAGGACACGGAGAATAGTGCTCCCTCCTAGGTGACAGCCAGTCTTGAGGAAGGTCCAAGCCTAACAGGTCCCATGAGGAACTCCCATGTTTGTTGCCACTCCATCTTGAGTAGTTGGCCCTTGCCATGAGAAAAGCCAAGCTTGATCTAGTGTGAGGCCTGATGGCCAAGCACAGTGGGGAGGACAAGCTGAGCAGTGTCTGAGCTCGCAGTGAGCAGAAGACTAGGTCGACAGCCCAGGAGAGCAGAGCCATGGCCTTCACCAGGCCAGGGAAACAACTGCTAAAGCCGTCATAAGACCTCAGCCGTGGAAGTGGTGGACTCGGGTTTGTGCTGTCGCTCGGCAGCGGCGTGCGGTGGGGCTGGCAGCGTGCGGGCAGCGGAGCGTGGCAGTTTGCACGTCAGCTCGCTGGCACTTTCTGCTGCACTGGGTCTGCGTCACCCGTTGCCTTCATGGGAGCTGAACTTGGCCCTTTACAAGCTGGGGCGGCCAGAGGAGCTGCAAGCCCGGCCTGGAAAATCCAAGTGCCTGAGCTGAGCCGATATTTGAACAACTCCATCCTTCCAGAGCTCCAAATGCGGCTGGGCACGTGGGGCTGGGCACAGGGGGCTGCCACCACGTTCCCCGGAGACCCCCGGCCTCTGGAGGGGCCACCACAGTTGGCAACTGTGCCCCTCCAGTGAGCCTGCCATGCTCGAGCCCACCCTCGGGGCG